GATGTCCATAACCCCAAGGGACTTACACCTAACACCTTATGGCAAATGGATGTTACTCATTATTCTCCTTTTGGAAGACACAAATATGTTCATATTTCTACTGATACTTATTCAGGTTTTATTTTTGCTACTGCTCAAGCAGGTGAGGCTGTTCACAATGTTGCTTCATTGTTTTTCCTTCACTGGCCCACCTTTTAAAAAAGTTTTGTACTGAGTTCTCTATTAGTCACTCTACTGGCCTTCCCTATAATCCTCGTGGTCAGGCCACAGTTGAACGCACCAATCGTACATTGAAGATGGTGCTCCAAAAACAAAAAGGGGGAGCTAAGGGATCCCCTTGGCATCAGTGGAACACTGCACTCTACACTATAAATTATTTAAAATTCGATAGTTGTAACCTCTCTCCTGCAATGAAATATCTGGCAGGAAATGACAACAGTACTAGTGACACCACTAAATCAAACAGATTCCTTTCTCCTAAGCACAATATGAAAGTCATGTGGAGAGATGTTGATGGTGTCTGGCAGGGCCCAGGGCAAGTGCTAACCTGGGGGCGAGGCTTTGTTCTAATTTTTACCGGTGATGGAGAACTTTGGGTCAGAACCAAGGATGTCCGTATTATCCATTCAGAAGGAACAAGGCAAGCTGAAAAAACACAGGCCAGCCAGAAATCGCAGGAGCCGAAAGAATAAGAAGGCACTACAAGAACTTTTAACCAAGCTGTGCCTCTTGTCGTTATCGTCAGCAGGGATACAGAATACAGCAGCAGCAGAGACAGGAAATACAACACAATGGGCCTTTGTGACAAAACCACCATGGCCCAGACTAGTTACATGGGGAGAGACAATACCTGAGGTCATTCTGCAAGGAAATGCCTCCTCAGGTTTTTGGCAAGGAATTTCATTTCATATCACCTAAGAACTGGTCTCAACGCATTGTAAAAACGAACTTTACTGGTGTGGCTTTGGTGCCGCCTATTTGTGTTACAAAAGGCAATGACACCAAAAACTCCACGTGTTTACAATTATTTAATGTCACCACCCTTTTTGATGGGTATGTGTTTAATAACACGGCACCCCCTCCTTATACTATTGTCTTTTTTCAATTTTATAAGGTTACTTACACGAGCATCTTGGGGTCACAGTGTGTTAATGACACACCTATCAGACGTCCAAGTAATTCAAAGCCATGCTATCATGTGACACTGATTAGCAAGAGCTTAGGGTATCCTCCTTGGTTATCTTGTCATACTTCAGAATGTCATTGTGTTGTGTTACAAAAGAACTTTACGTTACAATCCTGGCACGATTATACTAGGGAGAAAAACAATCATACTTAGGCTTTTGGCGGGTTTCCATTTCCTCAGTGGGTTTCCCTTTATGACAGAGGGGTTGAAAAATCAGTTGTGGAAGGCGTGGGCAGCCTTAGGTCCCATAAACATCACGAATTTGCAAGGGACCGTCCATGATAATATGACAATGAGAGCTTGTTTGACTGGTAATCATGCACTTATGTGGGGAAGAGCACAGAATGTTAATATAACGGCCGTGGATTCAGGGGAATATAATGTCACTTGTATTAATTGCAGTATGTCTGAATGTATAGGAACCAAGATTAGAGAACAAATTATTTTTGTTATTACCCAACAAAAGTTTGCCTTGGTGCCTGTGAAAAGCAAAGATTGGTATGAGTCATGTTCTGATCATATTTTTGGAATAATAGACCAAAGTAACCAATTAGCAGTTGCTAGGAAAAAGAGATGTATTTCATGTGTAGTATTAGGAATTGTTTCACTGATAGCTATCATAACTGCTTCTGTATCTTTATCTCAATCTATATCTACTGCAAGAAATGAAATGGTTTAAGCTGATTTTATGAATCAATTAGCTTCCAATGTATTAAAGGGTTTTCAAACACAAAAGAGGATAGATGATAAATTTTACCATATATACTTGAGGGAATGAAGGAAACCATTATTGAAACAGGTGATTAATTGGATATTTTAGAATATAGAACACATTTGAAATGCGATTATAGGTATGAATTCATTTGCCTTACCAATGTTAAATACAATAAATCCCAATGGGATTGGCAAAGAATATGTAGACATTTAAATGGGCTGTTTGGGAATTCTACTATTGTAGTGGATATTGATGACTTATACGAAATTGCTAAAGATAATTGCAAGGGCAGATAAAACTGCCCAACATATGCTTGATTGGATAGATAAAATCTGTAATCCTTTTAATAACCTTGGACATGGGTTTATATCTCTATTGTCTTCTTTATTGCCATTATGTTTGATTTTGCTGGCCATGCTGTGTTTTGGACTGTGTTTGCTTAGGTGCATAGCTAATCAGATAAAGGACTTTGGGACTGAGCTTCTTATGCTCCATCTCCAGCAAAAACAAAAAGGGGGGGGGGACAGCTAGGCGGCACAGTGGACAGAACACTGGCCCTGAAGTCAGGAGGACCTGAGTTCAAATCCGACCTGAGACCAAACACTTGACACTTACTATCTGCGTGACCCTGGGCAAGTCACTTAACCCAACTGCCTAAAAAAAAAGGGGGGGAATTGTTGGGGATTTGTAAGGATGTAGAAGGCCACAGGCTGTTCATGAGGTCTCACTGATGGGCAGAAGCCCCTCTCCGGTGCTGATCTATTGAGCAAAGGTCACCTGGTTCGGTGCTCCATTGTATGGATCTGTAACAATCTTTAACTCCCTTAGTTACTATATGGTCATTAGCAGTTTATCTGTGATTGGAGTCAGATAAGTGCACAGGATGTGCATGCACTGTCCTTAGCACAGCATGAGCTCTACGTCATTGTAACCTGAGAAGAAGTTCCTGTTACCTTACTACTTAAGTGAATGCTTTGTTAAAATTAAATGGAGTTGCTTCCATCTTGTCTCCCGCCTCATCAATGCGCATTCGCATTTGAGATAGAAGGTTAAGCTGGCCTTATCCCTTCAGAGTTAGTATAGGATCCTTGCTCTTGTGGTGAGCTGAGCTAGCTGTGCACAACATCTCTCTATATTATCTCTCTTGTTAATGTCATGTCCCACAGATTCAGTTATCATCTCTATGCATCTACACAGATGATTCTCAGATGTACTCATCTTGCCTCTCTCTTAACCTCTAATCTTACATTTCCAATGGCCATCACAAACTAGATACCAATAGACATTTTAAACTCAACATGTCTAAAACCAAATTCATTTTCTTTCCTCCAAAATTCTCTCCTCTTCTCTGCTCTATTTTTTGTACAGTTTGCTCATGATCCCAGCCAACTACTGGAGTTTTAAACTCTTTGTTAAGATAGGGGTCTGCTTCCAGTGTGGAGAATGTATTGTCTCATGCTTGGGGTGGGTGTTGTGCAGCTGTTTTCAGAGATACATTTGGGTACCTGTAAATTTTAAGTTCTTCCAAGGTGGTATGATGAAAGGCAACGTGTTTACTCCTTTCCTGGTCTGTACTCTGGTCTATGAGTGACTACAAGCACTCTTTTCTGCCTTGGAACTGAGGAGGATTCTCTCTTTACTACCACCACAAGCTCTACCATGCCAGTACTACTCCTCTCCCCAGGACTGTCACCCAGAACTGGACATTTGTTTCACTCTGTCTTTTCGTGGGTTCTGCTGCTCTAGAATTTGTTTAGAGCCATATTTTACAGGTATTTGGAGGAGTCTGGCAGAGAGCTCAAGCAAGTCACTGCTTTTACTGCTTTTACACTCCGCCCCCTCCCCTCTTCTCTATCTCCCTGTTACTATCCAGGGCACCAACATTTTCCCAGCCCAGGTTCTCAACCTAGATGTCATCTTTGACTCCTCATTCTCTCTCACTCCCCATATCCAATCTGTGCCAAGGCCTTCCTCAACATTTCCTGTATATACTCCCCTTTGTTCTTCTTCACTGGCATGCCTCTGGTGAAGACCCTCATTACCTCACCCTTGGACTACTGCAATACTCTAGTGGTTGGTCTCCCTACCTCATACCTCTCCCCCTTCTAGTCACCCATTCATTCAGCAGCCAAAGTGATCTTCCTATACTCCAGTGGCTCCCAATAACTTCCAGGATCAAATATAAAATCCCGATGTTTGGGATTCAAAGGTCTTTATAGCCTGGCCCCCTCCTACCATTCCAATCTTCTTACACCTTACACCCCACAAAGTACTCTGAGATCCAGTCACATTGGCCTCCTCACTCTTCCTCCAACAAGGCATTCCTCCCAAGTCCTGCATTTTCCCTCGCTGTCCCCCAAGCCTGGAATTTTCTCCTTCATCTCCTTTGTTGGCTTCCTTCAATTCCAGCTAAAATCCTGCCTTCTAACAAGAAACCTTTCCAGTTCTCCTGAATCTTAGTGCCTTCCCTATGAGATTACCCCCAATTTATGCGTTCTTTTGTTCCTCCAGAGTTGTTTGCATGTTGCATGCATTAGACTGGGAGCTTTTCCAGAGCAGAGGTTGTGTATTTATTTGCTCCCTCTGTATCCCTAGAGCTTAGCACAAGTGCCTAACACAGAGCAGGCTTAATAAATGCTTGTTGACTGAGGTTCTTTCAATCAATCAATAACCAATCAACAATAATTAAGTGCTTACTATATGCCAGGCACAGTACTAAACGCATATTCCAGCGCATATTTTTTGATTTTTTAATATTTGTAGTGACAATTCCGGGAAGAAGCTACCAAGCGATGATGAGGGGAGGAAACCCGAGGCTAATTTAGAACTGGGACGTCAGTATTCAGGTGCAGTGGACGTGACCCCGCCCTTCTCCTTAAGTCTGAGAAAGCTAGGCGGAGCTCAGATCCAACGATATGCAGATCTGAAGATGCGCAGTGAGGGCGACAGATACACTACTCACCTTCTCTTCCCCTTCACCCCCAGCAGGAGTTTGAGGTGTGAGGCATAAGCCAGCGCTAAGCAGCTTCCACTCTTCCCCCTCCCCTCTCCCCCGTTTCCGCGCTCCTCCTTTCCCCGCCTCCCGGCTCCGCCTCCCTCCAGGCACGCATGCGCCTCACCCTTTGACGCCCCGCCCCTCTCTTGGACAGCGCGCGGGCGGGCAGTTTGAAAGCCATGGCGGAATCGGATCCCTTGGAGGCGACCTTCCAAAGGTCCTTACACATTCAGAAGCTAAAGGCCCGAGATGTCACGGAGGAGGACGTCCTGCGGTGTATGCAGAAGCAGTCGAAGATCATTAATGGCCCCGGAACTGGTAGTGAGCTGGATGCGCGGCGGCGGGAGATGCCGTGCGTGTTCCTGTGCTCCCGCTGCCAGCGGCCCCTGGGGGACTCGATGAGCTGGGAGGGCACCGACTTTGACGGCAACTGCTTCTTCCTGAACGGTGAGGGTGGTGGTGGGGGTTTGAGGAAGAGGGAGGGGGAGGAGGGAAGGAAGGGGGGGCAGGGAGCGGGGGAGAGGCGCGGGGGGAGGGGCAAGGGGTAAGGGGAGGGGCTCAAGACTCTAAAAATATTTTATTTTTCCCCAATTACAAATTAAAATAGTTTTTAACATTTTTTTAAGTTTTGAGTTCCAAATTCTAGCCCTCCCTTCCTCCCTCCTCTCCCCCCTCCCTGAAACGGTTATACACGTGCAATAGCTTGGGGACCCCCAGCCCCCCATGTCTCAACCTCTCTGTTTCGATTTCTTTATCTATAAAGTGGGGATAATTGTAGCTCTTAGGGTTGTTGTGAGGATCAAATGAGAATAATTGTAAAGCATTTAGCACAATATAAGTGTTAGTTATTGCTGCTATTATTAGATGAATTAGTGATTAGATTAAAAGTGAGCAGACCTTAAATGCCAGCCATGCTCGTGGTGGTGGTGATGATGGTGACGGTGTCACTGTCACTGCCCTCTCTGGGACCTCAGTTTTCTGTAAATTATAAGGTTAGTTCAGGTCTCTATGAGGTCTCTTCCAGGTCTGCCTAGGAGCCTGTTTCTCACATCAGCCCTGTGAGGCTGGTAGTCTGTACGAGGCTTGGTCCCTGTGAGTCAGCCACAGACATTTACCTGTGTGGCCACCTGGGCAAGTCAGGTAACCTCTCTCAGCCTCATTTCCGTCATCCTTAAAACGGGGAATAACAGCTACCTCTTAGGGTTGTTGTGAGGATCACATGCAAACATCTGACCTTTGGCAAGTTACTTCCGCTCTCAAATTAGATGATTGGATTAGATCAGGATTGATTGACCCTTTTTTGTGTCCTGGACACTTTTTACAGTCACTGAAGCCTATGGGCCCTTCAGTATAAGGTTTTTAAATGCTTAAAATTAAATACATAGGATTATAAAGGAAATCAATTTATATTGAAACACAGTTATCAAAATATTGCAAAAAAGTTCATAGATCACAGGTTAAGAACCTCATGGCTTAGATATGTGACATCCTTTCCAGTAGTTTATGTGCTATCCTCAGTTTACAGATCAAGAAAAAACCTCAGAGTAGACTTATTGCCACTAAGTGCTTGGCTAATGAATAGCTTAGGTCCTCTGACCGGTGCACTTTTCTATGCATTATGCTGTCATATCATTCTCTTGAGTTCTCGAACTTCAGAGGCTCATGCTGGACTATTTGCATATGATATTTGTTTATTCACAAACTGTAAATTTTTGGGTTAATTTGAGAGCTACTAGTAGTTATAGTATTTTACTCTGACAGTGCAATTACTTAAAATTGCTTTTGGTGAATAATTTATTTCAAAGGACTCTCTTATTTAGTCACTTATTTCAGAAGCATCAAAATAATAATTAAAAAAAAAACCAAACCCAGAACAGTTAATTGCCTCTTTTGCGTAGAGCACTGTGCCCCAAAGTTTAAAACAGACCTGGTGTCTACCCTCTAGGAGTTTATAGTCTATTCATAAGAGGATAAGACACCAACACAGATGTATATGGTATAGTAGATTATAGTTACTTACATTAGACCAGGTGCTATTTGAGATCCAACCTCAATTTCAGTACTAGCTAAAGTACTGCTTCAGCATTAACTCTGAGCTGTGTTGTGATGTTGCTGGTATAATATTTTGTTAGATTTGTGCCAACACTATAAAGTAGATCTAGCTGTAACTGACATAAATGGCCCCCAAAAGTATTTTTAAATACAAAACATTTTTCTCTGCAGGAATTGTCGGCTTTTTGAAATTTATGGAAAGAATGTTTTGAAAAATACTGTCTAAAGTCTTGAGAAGGAAGAGAAGACTAAATTATGAAACCAACTGGGGCCGTTACTTCTAACCCAAGTACACTGTATTACAGACATTTACAGTAATCTGCTTTATGGTGTTGGCTAAGAAAATGATTTTGCTGTGATTGGTGCTATTATACTAACAACAATTCTTGTAAGCTTAATTTTTTAACAAGTTTCTTATTTGTAAAATGAAGACGTTGGATTAGATGAACTATTATATCTTGCCTAGCTCTAAAAATTCTATGAGGACATCAGTAACCAGCAGTTACCTTTTTCTCATTCTAGCAGTCTCACCTAATGTTTATGTGGATAAGGAACAGAAGCTATCTACTAGAAAAAATGAATATGGCTGGTAAGATGAAAGTTAAATAATTATCCTTGTATGATACTTAATTCAACAAAATTTTTTAAACATATACAGTGTGATAGGTACTAAGCATTCAAAGAAAAAAATGAAAAGACTTTTGCTCTAAAAGAACTTAGTGTTCTGCTGGAGCAGTATAATAATTACACACATACAAGGTAATTTGTGGAGAGGAGAGAGCATTGACAGCATCCAGGATAAGGAAAGGTTTCTTGGGGGAGATTATACCTGAACTAATATTTATTTATTTATTTGTTCGTTCATTCATTCATTCATTCATTCAGTGAGGCAATTGGAGTTAAGTGACTTGCCCAGGTCATACAGCTAGTAAGTGGCAAGTATTTGGTCTGAGGCTGGATTTGAACTCAGGTCCTCCTGCCTCCAGGGCCGGTTCTCTATTTACTTTGCCACCAAGTTGCCCCGTGAACTAATTTTAAAAACAATTTTTTTTTCTTTATTATGAACTTGATACACATGTATATTTTCATATGCAGAGAACAAAAAAGGAAATGTATATGATACTGAATTTCTATGAAGTGAAGCTTGCTTTTTTAAAGTATAATACTTTATGGTGGTAGAACCAACGCTGGCCTCCTTGTATGTCCCCTTCTTAACTTTTACTGTCCTCTGTGTATCTTTTAAATGTTTCATTAATTTTCTTTTTTTTTTTTTTTTGGCATTACTATATTATCCCTCCAAACCCCCATAACTCTACTTTCCTCCCCTTATCTCTTTCCTTCTTATAGCACAATAGTAGTCCATCACATTCATAAACAATAGCTTGTTCAGCCATTCCCCAGTTGATGGATACACCCCTTAATTTCCAGTTCCTTGTTGCTGCGGAAAAAGCCACTATAAGTGATTTTGTATATATTATAGGTCCTTTTCCTCTTTCTTGAATTGCTTTGCCTTTTAGACCTAGTAATAGTATAGAGGGTCAAATAGTATGTACCTAGTAGCTGTTTGGGCATGGTGCCAAATTACTGTCCAGAATGACTAGACCAGTTTATAGCCCCTACCAACAGTGCATTAATGTGCCTGTTTTCCCTCAGCCCATCCAACATTTGTCATTTTCCTTTTATGACGATTTTGCCAGTCTGATAGATTTGAGGTAGAACCTCACGGTTGATTTAGTTGATAATTCTCTAGTTATTAATGATTTGGGACATTTTTCATATGACTTTTAACAACTTGAGAACTGCCTGTTCATATCTTTACCATTTATCAATTAGAGAATGGCTCTTATTCTTATGAATTTGAATCATTTCCTTTCCGTATCTTGGAAATGAAACCTTTATCAAAGAAACTTTCTGTAAAGATTTTTCCCCAGTTACTGATTTTCCTTCTAACTTTAGCTGCATTGGTTTTGTTTGTGCTAAACTTTTATATGATCCAAGTTGTTCATTTTATTTTCTGTAATCTTCTCCAACCCCTGTTCAGCCATGGACTTTCTACCTGTTCATAGATATGACAGGTACTTCCTTCCTTCCTTATCTAACTTTTTAAGTTATGACATTTTATATCTAGGTCATATAACCATCAGAAGCTTATCTTGGTATTTGATGTTAGATGTTGGTCTCTACCTAATTTCTACCAGACCATTGTCCAGTTTTTTCAAGTAGTTTTTGTCATAAAGTGAGTCTTTACCCCCAGTCGTTGGGGGTCTTTGGTTTTCATTTTCTTCTTTATGTGTTATACCTAATCTGTTCCGCAGATCGACCTCTCTATTTTTTAACCAGTACCAGATCAGCCTGATAATTGTTGCTTTGTCATGTAGTTTGAGATCTGGTACTGCTAGGTTCCCTTCCTTCCTTTTTTTCCCCCTTTACTTCCCTCTAGATTCTTGATCTTTTTGTTCCTCCAAAAGAATGTTGTTATTATCTTGCTTAGCTCTATAAAATATTCCTTTTGTAGTTTGATTATATGATGCTGACTAAATAAATTTAGGTATTTTTTTTTATTATTGGTTTAGCCTACACATAAGCAGTTAATATTTTTCCAATTGTATTTTGGTCTGTACTACCATAAAGTATTTTTTAGTTGTATTCACAAAGTTCCTGAGTCATAGCAGGTAGACTCCTGAGTATTCTACACATTTTTTAGTTATTTTGAATGGATTTGTCCTTTCATTTCTTCCTGTTGGGTTTTGTTGGTAAAATACAGAAATGCTGCAAGGATCTATGTCCATTATCACCACTACTATTTAGATATAGTGCTAGCTATAACAATAAAACAAAAATAAATTAAGGGAATAAGCATAGGCAAAGAAGAAACAAAATTACTTCTTTTTGCAGATGATATGATAGTTTACATAGAAAACCCTAAAGATTCAACTAAAAATTATTTGAAAAAATAACTTCCACAAAGTTGGAGAAAATAAAATAAATACTCATAAATCATCACTTTTATCCATTTCAGATAAGAGTGAGTTTCATTAGATGCCCATCTCCCCAATCCCTTCTATCATGTTCATATATTCTTTTGGGGACACCCAGTTATGAGAAGTAGTACATTTCTCTCCTTCCATCCTTATTTATTCTCCAGTTTTTTTCCCTCTATTTTCTTCCCTCTTTTGACATAATATGGGACAACTAAAACCTACCTAGGGCCTCTCTAGCTCTTTCTATCAGCTGTAAAGTTAGTGAGATTCTGAGGGGACATTTTACTTTTCTCCAACTATTAGCATGTATATACTTCCTCCTTTAGCTACTTCCAGTTCCTCAAATTTATATACCTTTCTGGCTCTTGCCTTTGCATTTCAAAGATTCTGCCCAGCTGTAGTCTTTTCATCAAGAATGCTTTAAAGTCCTCTTCTCTTAAAAGTCTGTTTTCCCTCCAGCAGGAGTATGCTCTATTTTGCAGCGTTAAGTTATTCTTGGTGATAAGCCTTTATCTTATGCCTTTTGGGGTATCATATTCTCTCCTTTATAGTAGTTTGAGCTGGGTGGTGCAGTCAGGAAAACCTGATCCAGCTTCAGATAGCTAATAAGCTATATGACCCTAGGTAAGTCACTGTTAAGTAACCTCTCTTTGCCTCAGTTTCCTCATCTGTAAAATGGAGATAATAACAGTTCTGACATCTCAGAGTTGTTGTGAGGATCAAATGAGATAATTGTAAAGTGCTTAGCACAGTGCCTGGTACATAGTAAGTGATACATAAATCTTGGCACTGTGCTAAGCCCTGGGGATACAAAAAGAGGCAAAAGACAGTTCCTGCCTTCTAGGAGCTCCCAGTGTGCTAGCTCTGTGACCCTAGGCAAGTCTCTTAACCTCTGCCCACCTCAGATTTCTCAACTGTGAAATATGGATAATAGCACCTTGTTGTAAGGATAAGGTGAGATCATGTTTCTAAAGTACTTTGCAAACCTTAAAGTACTATAGAAATGCTAGCTAGTATTATTATCTTGAATGTGGCTTCATATTTGAACTTTTTCTTTCTGACTGCTTGCACTATTTTTTCTTTGACCTAGAAGCTCTGGATTCTGATGTTTACAACTTGGGGTTTTCTTAGGGTGGATTCTTTTATATTTTCTCTTTGTCTTTTTCTGATAGATTTGGACAATTTTCTCATATGATTTCTTGAAATATGGTATCCAGGGTTTTTGTTTGCCATGGTTTTCAAGGAATTTGATGATTTATTATTTCTCCTTGATCTGTTTTTTTCTACTTTACCTGCTCTTCCATTTTTTCTGTCTTTTGACTTTGTTTTTATTTCTTGTTTACTGGTTGAATTATTTGATTTTGTGTATTCCATTCTGTTTTTCAGGAAGTTCACTTCTTGCATAAGAGTTTCAATTTTGTGTTTTCAGCTACTTATTCTTCCAGTTTTTTTTCCTTAAGAGCTCTAGTTTAATATTTTATCTTTTTTAAATTTTTTATGACCGCTTTTGGAGGCCTTTTGACTAAATCATTCATTTCTGTTTCTATTTTTTGTGCAATTAACCTTTTTCTTTTGGGTTAACCTTTTTGTTATCTCTTGAACCACATTTTTTCATTGTGTTCTGTGTTTTCTTCTTTTTTTTTCCCCCACTCCCAACTTCAGTTTCTAAATTGGGACTTTGTGCTAGAGGCATTCTCTACTTCATGCTGTATTTAAGGATGGTGAAGAGAAGCCCTGTTTGTTTTTGTGCTCTCTGTAGTTCAGTTGTCACTGCCACTGCTGTTGTGCATGGGCATCTGGGGCCAGGTCTTTCCCTTTGTGGCAAAGGGCAAGGGTGGACCTCAGCTCTTCTCTGTCTCCTTGCACAGTTTCTAACTGGGAATTCATTCTGTGTTCTACTGTTGACCTTGCTAAGGTCCGGTCAGATTTTAGAGAACCTCTTGCTCTTAGGCCTTCTGCAAATCCTCCTGGCATACATGCCATTGAGCTGACCTTGCCTTCTGCTCCTGATGTGAATGGGGGCAGATTTTGTCCCTTGTTGCTTCCAAAACAGGTCAGGGCCAAGATCCCACTGGCTTCAGGTCTTGAGCACTGACTGCTTCCTTGTATAGTGCCCTTCCACATATTTCAGGCTCTGAAATTAGGCTGGGTTTGGGGCCCCTGCTCAGAGTGCTCACAAGCTACTAGCCCTTGTGATTGAGCTTATCTCAGGTCCTTCTGATGGGTCCTGTCTCAGAGAGCTCGCAGAACTACTGACCTATCTGCATTTGGAATGCCAGCAGGCTTCAGACCTTTTACCTTAGCTTGCTCCCCTTTTGAGACTCTCCTGTGAACCATGATAGGTCTCTTGACTTCTTATGCAGTCCTGGACTGGAAGGAGAAATGACTGCCGTTTGTCTTTGGTGTTCCTAATCACTGATCTTTCTGGTCCTCCTTTAAATGTATTTGCTGCAGTCTGTGTGGGAGACCTGTGCTTCTCTTTGATCTTTTATATTGCTATCTTAGCGGAAGCTCTGAATTGAGTCTGGAAGGGAGGTGAGAATTCTGAGAGACTGAGGTGAGGGTGTGAATTCTAGGCATGGGGAATTCAGATTCACAGAAGTGGGGGATTAGAGTATTCAGTATGGCTGAAACAAACAGTGGCTTGTGGGGTGTACCATGAGATAAAGTTGGATATATGGGTTTAGGTCAGATTTTGGAGGACTTTAAACACCAAATTTAGGAGTTTGTGTTTTATCCTGTAGGCAGTAGGGATCCATTGAAGGCTTTTGCTTGGGGGTGTGACATGGTTCGAAGGGTGGATTGGAGAAGGAGACAGACTGGAAGCAGGGAGGCTATTATTATCATTCAGGTGAGAGAGATGCTGACAACTTTTACTTACTTGAAGATCTTAGCAATTATGCCTAAAGTTTAACTGTATTTTATGGCTTTGATAGCCACAAGTTGGTATTTAGGGTTGGCTTAGCAAACATTGGTTGTTACTATAGTTTTCTTAATGGCAGAAGCCACATTAAAGAGTGTTGAAGTGTAACTGATATCTCTGCTATTCTTTCTGACTGATGAGGGAGACACCATTAATATTCCAACAGGGATGCTATGAAAAAACTGAATGGATCTGTTTATCTCTTCCCTTGTGAACCAGCTCCTCAGCTCCCATTGGTTGTTGATCTGCCTTGGAGACTCTCACTGCCTGTTAAATTCTCCAGTTAGTAGGATCCAAAATGATTTTATTGTACTAAGATTTTACTGTATGAGTTTATAAATACTGACGGAATATGGACTAAATGAAACATCAAAGCTGGGTAAGGTCAATTAAAGAAAGCTTACTGCAGAGGATATTCAGTATTGATGGAGGACGTGAGAGACGTGGAATAAAGAAGGAGTGAGGAGAATAGGCACATATGGGCACAAAACAGAGAACTAGGAGACTCTTTTTTATGTGTAAAAACATAAATTTGGTTAGAGTATGGGGGAATACAGGATCATTCAAGCATTTAAGTGCCTCCCACGTGCAAATTGCTTTGCTGTAAGGTGGGGCAACTGATTAAAATCCCTAGATTCCTTCAGGCTCAACTAAAGTACTGTCTTCCACAGGAGGCCTTTCCTGATCCCCTTAGTTGCTGGTGCCCCTCTCCCTGGAATTACTTATTTACTATATGTTTTTATATGTGTGTGTATGTGTGTTTATATATATATATATATTTTATAATGTAGATACTGTATATTATATATGTAAATACATAAACACACACATGAGATGTCCCAGAAGTCTTTATTTTTATTTACTTGGTGTGTGTATGTGGTGCTTAAGAAAGCTTGTCGATGTTTGATTGATTATTATGATCAGTATAACATATTTGAAGAACTTTGGTTTTGAAGAATAGTTTATGGCTTTAGAACAGTTGAAATCTTTTTTAAAGATCACAAACAAGTATAGTCTTTTCTAAAGTGATGATTTTTCTTTAGCATGATTGAGACTTTGAGTTGTAATGGATGTTCACTGAATATTGGCCAAATATACAGATGTACACCCAGACATCTTGATTATAAACGAGACTTGTTTTGCTTCGATGTTTCATCAGTTGATGGGTAAGTCTGTTTTATTACATGTTACACTTAAAATTGGTTCTTGGAAAATAAAAGAATGTGAAATGAATTTGTTTTTACATACAGTTGTCACTTTACCAAAATTTGCCTCATGAATGTTCCCACAACTGGTGTCAGGGGTGGCTTCTGGTGCAGCCTCACCAAGGGTTCTTTGGCTTCCCACTCTGGCTGTGGGGGCTGCAGAACTGTGGATGGGGTGGGACCATGCAAAGCCTGCCTGGGGAAAGTTAAGTGAGAACTGACCGTAGTTTGATTACTGTTACAAAGCCAAAAGTAATTTATTATTTAAGTTGGCTCTAATCTTTTTTCCTTGTCAAATTGTCGAAGCTTTACATGATTTATCAAAAGAGACAATTAGCCAAATTGAACAAATGTTAATATGACTTTAGTTAGAGATATGTAGGCTTTCTTTTGAGAATGTTGTAATTTGCATATTTTTATATACTTAGATATATTATCAATTTGGTTTTCAACTTTGTGCGTTATTGGAGACATATGTCTAAATCCCACATTGTCTCTCTACTTGCCATACAACACATTTCAGGGCCACAACCCTATGAGCTATATTTGGAGAAGGCAAGTTTATTGGAATCTTAGCATAACAAAGCATAATTAATAGTATAAACCTGCTACCAAAAGAATCATGTGAATACTGATATAGCCATTAATTCTCAAATTTGGGTATTCAACTCTTGTGTCCCAAATCTCTTAAGCTGGTACTCAGACTTTTTTAGGCTTTTTTGGCCAGTAGAACACTTGGAAGCTGAACCTCAGAAAATAAAAACAATTTTTGTTGAGAGAGTGGAGGAGAGAAGAATTAATAGAAATGATCTGGTATATGACCAAAAGGGAGATATTTTTTGCTCATTTTGGACCTTACAAATCCAGTCAAGCACATGGAGAATCAATATTAACAAAGACTGCCAATATAATTAAAACGGAATTTGTTACAATGATCCCAAACACTATAGGATACCCAGATATTTCTGGGGAAAAAAATAGGTGACCAGCCAAGATGGCAGAGTAGGAGGAAGCACTACAGCTCAGCTCCCCTGATGATCACTCCAGCAAAAATCTCAGACAAGCACCAGATGGGATTGTGATTGGAAATCGAAGGAGAAACCACAGCTGGTCATCTTTCTAGCACAAGATCACAGATTTGATCCATGAGCAAGTAATGAAGCTAGGAACTGAGGAACAGAGGTGGGTCAGGATCTTGGACCTGGACACCAGGAGCAGAACAGGTTCACAGGTCTGCCACCAGACACAGGATTAAGATCTCAGTCCAGCACTGGGGTACAGGAGGTGCTGCTCTGTCACTAACACTAGAGGAGGGGTTCACATTCACATCAGGAGCAGAAGACAAGGTCAGCTCAATGGCATGTATGCCAGGAGGATTTGCAGAAGGCCTAAAAGCAAGAGGTTCTCTAAAATCTGACCGGACCTTAGCAAGGTCAACAGTAGAACACAGAATGAATTCCCAGTTAGAAACTGTGCAAGGAGACAGAGAAGAGCTGAGGTCCACCCTTGCCCTTTGCCACAAAGGGAAAGACCTGGCCCCAGATGCCCATGCACAACAGCAGTGGCAGTGACTACTGAACTACAGAGAGCACAAAAATGAACAGGGCTTGTCTTCACCATCATTAACCCTAGAGTAATGTTGTCACTGACTCCAGAGAAGAAAGAGCAAAAGTAAACAGACAGTACGTTGCTCTGAACCTGTAGAACTTTCCTACCACTTGAGAAGAATTGGGGCCAGCAACTGCCTTCTGGAGCTCCACTTAAGGGCAAACCTGCAATGACATTGCCTAGGCCCAAATCATGTTTGGGAAAATGGAAAGGCAGGAGGACAGGGAACAGGCCATGCCCTTGACTAGACCACTTAGGGTCCTCTGAAAGTTTACAGATTTAAGGCTTTAGCCACTCTTCTGATTTGAAGAACCCAGCACAAAATGTCCAGAGAATGTACCTGCAGACCACCAGATAACAGGCCAGGTCTGAAATGCATAATAATAAATAATGACTCCCATATAATCAAGATAGAATTTGTAGTGAAGATCTTAAATAGCATAAGATACACAGGTATTCTTGAAGAAGAGCATGGCAGTGAATTAGCCGTTGATAGCTATCCTAGACCCAGCAAACTCTGGCTCAGAGTTACTTGAGAAGCATAGAAGAGCCAAGGAATATTTCTTGGCCTGCAGAAAGAAAAGAGAAAGGGGCAGAACCTCCAAAATGCTTCTCTGTTCAATTCAAGGAAGAAGACTGAGGTCAAAAGTCTCCAGAAAACCTGATAGTTTAGATCAGAACATAACCTTAATAATATTCTTTCTTGCTAGAATCCAATCTGACTTCTTGATTTCTCCTCCAGAAGTAGTGCAGTATCCCTTTTATGAATTAATCCCTGCTGAAGGTCAATGAGAGTGGTGCCCCTTTTTTTATGGAAAAAAGGGTCAGTTTTGAAACAAGGCAGTTCTGCCCTGTTAATGGATAGAAAATTCTTTCCTCTGTTAAGTCTTACTGGAGACCACAGTTTTGAATCAAGCAAGTCTGTCTGATTCATTTTTAAAAAATAGATTCTATTAATCTTTATTTTACAATACCCTTCCAGTATTTTCCTTCCCATTCCATCTCCCAGAGAACAATTCCTTATAATAAGTAATAAAAAAAAAAAGAGGAAAAAAACCAGTTCAGCCACCCATAGTCCCTCACCTCTGCAAAGAAATAAGGTGAGATGCTTTCCCATACTTCTTGCCCCAGTCATAATGGAAAGTTGTGTCTTCAGTCCTTGACATGTTGTAGACCACTTCTTGAGACCTATTATCTTGGCGAGAACTGAAGGAGGGAAGGGATGCTATTTTCTACTGTCTCCTCTCCCTCTTCAGTCAAAGTCTCCTCTCCTTCCCCATTCAGAGAGCTGGAAGATACTTTGATATCAGTTGTTGACCCAGTTATTGCCTGAGCTGACAGACTCCTAACAAATAAAGCCAATCTGAGTTTACAAAACAGAAATTAGGGCTTTATTATTTGTATTACCAAAAGAGACATGGATTTTTCTTTTAAAAAGATTTCTTTCACTATCATTCCCTCAGTGTGGAAGTTTTTATTTATAGGTCATCATTTGATAGATTGAAAAACAAAATTTAGAACTGAAAATTGAGATTACATTGCAATACAAATGTTTGAATGTCTATGTGATCTGAGATGTCTCTGAGCTCGCAATTTTCAGACAAAATAACATAATACTCTACTAACATTCAATTTTTGTTCCTTTTTAAGAAGAAGCTGTTTTCTGTAGCACAAGGTACTCCTGAAGTTGACTTTCTTAAGAAACTATAAAAAATAGCCTTTTAAAAATCCTTTTCTTCTACCCGGATACTTTGAATTAATTGTTTTAATTGTTTGGTTTTATTTATTTCCAGTAATGTGTTTTTGGGATCTTAAGAAAATTAAAACATAAACCAATGTGAATAAAGTTGTATTACTAAGAAGAAGAGTATTTTCTGGTTCAATGTCTAGGATGCTTGTCATGGCAAAACTAGTCCCGGTTTTTTTCTTCAGTGGTAATAGAGTGCTAAGAGAGAGTATTATGCTTTCAGCTTTGATATTAATATTAGCTTTCTTATAATCATGCTCTCTGTCAGTTACATTCTAGGTTCTGCTGAAAATGAAGCTGTGCCTGAAATGGAAGAGCCAGTAACTCTTGATAAGCAAGATGTAATGGAAAGCGTTTTAAAGAAGGTAAACAGTTTCACTGACAAGTTTTATCTCTGCATGTGGAAGACTTTATATTAAACTAACAAATATTCTCCAAAAAAATGATCATATACCCTGAGTTCACTGTTTTGATGTATAAGCCCATCTTCCTAATTGATATGTGGATTGTTTCACTTTAGTTCATCATGAAGCTCTATTAAGAGAAAAGGGTTGATGTTTTTCCTCCTACATTGTGCTGCCATATGACAGGGGGAAAAGTGAATTACACACCAGATTTCCTGCCTTTTTTGTCACTATAACTTGAAGTTCAGGTTCATTGATTTTGTGGTTCATAAATCTTTGGAGTTTTGTTTTGTTTTAAAAACCATACGGACATAGGATTGAGTCTGTGCAACTTTTATCTTAGCATTAGAACTGCTGTTGTTATTTCAGAAGGTGGGGTTCTACTGCAGCCAAATCTCTGTTATTTGTTTCAGATTATGAGAGGCATTGTGATGTAGCAAAAGAATGCTGGATTTGGAGTCATTAGTCAGTAATAGTGAACATTTATTAAGCTCCTGTTGTATTCTGGGTACTGTGATAAGTCACTGAGGATTCAAAGAAAGGGAAAAGACATCCCCTGCCCTCAAGGAACTCTCAGTCTGGGAGTGGGGCATGATGAAGCCATGTAAGGCTGGGTGGAAATGATCTGTGGTATGAGTTTCAGAATTGGTTTCATCTTGCAGAATAAAGAGTTTCTGGAGATTGTGAAATCAGGAGGTTGGAAAGGATAAGGTGAATTTCCTGAGCCCTCTCCTCAAAGAGAGGGTCTGGAAGGAGCTCCCAGATGGTCGCCTCTCACCCTCTTCTGCTAGAGGAAAGGAGAGACCCCAGGGGCAGAAGGTCCTGAGGATGTATGAATCAGGCTCTGCCTTCAAACTCTCCCTCTACTGCATACTAACTGTGTGGTCTTGAACATATTACTTAGCTGCTCCCGGCCTTAGCTTCCTCATCTGTGAAACTGAGACTGTTTATTTCAATAAACATTAAGGGCCAATTGTATACAAAGCTTTGTGTCCATGGGGATATAAAGATAAAAACAAAGTAGTCCTTGCTTTCAAAGAGCTTGCCTTTGATGGGTGGCTTTTAGTGAGCATGTACAAAGATAGGTAAATGCAAGGTAGTAGTTTGAAAGGGGTGGGGAGGGGTTTGAGGTGAGCAGAGAATACTTCGTAGAGATGGCACCAGAGCTGAGCTGTTGAGGAAGGTAAGGATTTTGAAGTGGAGAGTGAAAGCATTCATTCCAGGCTTTGGGGATAGCCTGGAGAAAATAATAGCTAGCATTTATATAGTACCTACCAGGTGCCAGGCATTGTGCTAAGCACTTCACACATTTTATCTCCTTTGATCCTCACAATAACCCTGGGAGGCAGGTGCTGCTATTATTTCCATTTTACAGTTGAGGAAACTGAAGCAAACAGATGAACTGATTTGCCTGGGGTCACCCAGCTAGTAAATGAGGCCAGATTTGAATTCAGATCTTCCTGTCTCCAGGCCCAGTGCTCTGTCAGCTGCACCTGTGATAAATGCATGAGGGTGGAGGAGTGCCAGATTTGGGGAAATAGCTATCTGGTAGTCTGATTTGGCAAGAACGTAGAGTTTAGTTCAGTAGGCTACTCTCAGGTTCTAAGTTGAGGCTAGTATTTTATTTTAGAGGCAGAGGCAGTGAAAGGGTCCCAGTGAAAGTTTTTGAGCAGGGGAATGATGCAGTCAGACCTGTGTCTTAATAGGATTTTTTTTTTTTTGGCAGTTGTGTGAAGAAGAATAGATTAGAGAGGATGGAGACTGGAAGCAGGTAGTTCTGGTGAGAGGTCATGAGGACCATTTGACTAGAGAGGAGACGGACAGGAGAGATTTTGGAGGGAGAATCAACAAATTAACAATAAATTCAGTGTGAGTGGTGAGAGAAAGGAAATAGGGGTAACTGTAGTTGGGAACCTGGGAGACTGAAAGGATGGGAGTCCATTTAGGCAAAAATAGAGAAGTTTGGGGGGAAGGATGGCTTTAGAGGAAAAGGTTATGAATTCTATTTTAGACATATGGACTAGATAGTCTCTAAGATTTTAGAGTGTAATTGCATGATCTTGTTTGTGAAATAGCCTAGTACCTTGTTTTTTTTCCACTTCCCTCTCTTCTTCCTCCTTTTTTTTTCTCTTTGTATTTTGCCTTCCCTCCTTTCCTCCCTTCCTTCCTTCCTTCTCCCTTGTTCCCTCTCCTCATATTTGATCTGCTTTCCATTATTTTACTGTTACAAAATTTCCATTAGGAAGTTGAGCAGGGAAAAAGGAAGACAATTAAAAATTCAGTTTCAGGTTATGATTCTGGGTTATTGAACTTGGTTAGATACTTTTTGCACCACTTAGAAAAACGAGTCTTTTCCTGACTTCTGTTTTGGTTGGTGATTTCTGCTAGGCTCTGTGGTTTAGTAAACAATTTACAGGAAGATCAGTGTCTACATTTACAAATGTATATAGCTTAGTTTAAGAGAGAAGAAAGAAAGAATAGTATTTCTACTGCTGGCGTAGTAGAAAGAAGTCTAGCTTTGGAGCTCAAAGTCCTACTTTCAAATTCTAGGTGTGCTTCTAAATGACAAGCTTAGGTAAGTCACTTTGCTGAACTGAACTTCAGTTTCCTCACCCATGAATTGAAAGCATTGTACTAGATTGTACTGTATGATCTCTAAGGTCTGATGCTAAGGCCTATAATCTTATGAGTAAGAAGCAAAAACTATAAAAACCAAAAACTGACATTTCTTTTCAGGACCTAACACAAATTTTTTAAAGTCATTGAACCGAAGTGTCCATGTACACTTTGAACTAAAGCAATATTTCATTTGTTTCAAGTTCTCGAAAAAGAATAAACAAGCCTTACTATATAACTTATGCAATACTACAAGGCTGTACAGAAAAGTACATGATGATAAACTCTTGGAAAAAAAAAACAAACCAAAGTTTTTCTATATCTTCAGTAGAGTCTGATGGAAACTTCACATTTAAGGAAAATATCTTTACTTCAATACATCTTTTCTCTATTATAGAATAAAGTTAGACCTACAGATATAGTTTTATCATATTTTTCTTATCATTTTTTTTTCTAATTTATCCAACAGCTGCAAGTTATCATGCATGGATTGGAGCTAAGAGTGTCCCTGGTTGAATCGGTTGTTTCAGGTCTTTGTTCCACAACATGAAAGAAATTTCACTTTTTTTTTTTTACTACTACTTTCCCCTTTGTATATATTGTAATTTGTTGGTGTACCATTTTAGCAGGAGTTATAAAGTGCTCCAGGTAATTTTATCCCTAAGTTATATTTAAGTGAAAAAATCTTAATCAGTTTTATAACTATTGATGTTATTTTGTAACTGTTAATTATGGGATAAAAGTTTCTCTTTTCTGAATTACAGTGCTAAAGTTATGTTTATAAAATGTCACTTCCAGAAACCTCTAAAGTGGAATTTAAGAGTTTTTTATGGACTCCTTGACCTTCTTTCTGCCTTGTATCATTTTTATATTCCTTAACCTCATCTTCCTTACACTTTTTGTTGTCCGTTCATCTTAACAGCTGATTGTTAGCTTGATTGGGGTGGGAGAGGGGAAGCATGTTATAGAAAAATCAAGTCTGGCTATTACCATGAACAAATAAATTCCTTAATGACAACTTTTGAGTATTTTGGTCAAAATTTAAGATTAGTTGGAACTTAGATATTTTTTCCCTTCTAATATGTTAGAATGTTCTCTGAAATTAACATTATGAAAATTTAAAATCATTAGTCTCACGTAGAAACATTGATTGAATTATGTATCATTGCCATTTAAAAATAGGTGGAAACTTATGCTCATAGACTTAGGTGTAGGAGGATGAACAGAAATCTTAGTCAAAAAATATTTGCTGATCACTTTCCATATATAGAGTGCTGTTCTAGCTGATATTACTGCCAAATTAAGGCCCCTGAGTACATTTTTCTGATTAATGAAAGATTCTTCTTTGCCTGAAGAAAGTCCAAAAAGAGGGAAACCCCACCTACTGTTATTCTTTACTGTTCTTACCAGCTAGGAGAATGGCTTTTCATAGAATTATAGAATTTCAGAACTGGAGTGGATCTTGGAGTCATTCTCTCCTCTACCCTGGTCCATGCCCTTTTCATTTCATACTGACTATTGCAATAGTCTGCTAATTGGTCTGCCTGCCACCAGTTGCTCTACTCCAGGCCATCTTCCATTCAGCCACCAAAGAGATTTTCCTAAAGTGAAGGTCTGACCATATCACTCCCTTGTTTAATAAATTCCAGCAGCTCCTTATTGTCTCCAGGATCACATACAAAATCCTCTGTTTGACTTTCTAAGTGGTTCATAACCTAACCCCCTTCGCTCCACCCATCTTTTTAGTCTTTTCATACTTTACCCTTATTTTATACATTCTTTTCATTGTAGTGACTCTGGCCTCCATCTGGTTCCCTGAACATGACACTTCAGGTCTAGGCTATAGGTATTTTCCCAGGCTGTTCCCTATACCTGGAATGCTTATCTCTACCTGCTGACTTCTCTGGCTTCCTTTAAGTCCCAGCTAAAATCTCGTTTTCTACAAGAAGCTTTTTCCAGCCCTTCTTAATTTTGATGACTTTTTTCCTTTTGAGTATTTCCTGTATATCCTGTATATAGCTTGTTTGTACATAACTGCTTCTTGTCTCCCCCATTGAATTGTGAGCTCTTTCAGGGCAGGGACTGTCTTTTACCTCTTTTTACCACTTAGTACCATACCTGGCACAAACAAGGCCCTTAATAGATGCTTATTACTGACTAATTTAATCCCTTTGGACCTCAGTTTCCTCAACTGCAAAATTAAGGGTTTTGGATTAGATGGCCTCTAAAGGTCCTTCTCAAAAATCTGTGATCCTGTGATGCAAGTAAAATTTGCTTTTTTGAACCATTGTTGCTAGTTCTATCCTCACTGGATCTAAGCAAAACAAGTCTTAATTTTTTTTCCCCACATGACCTTTGCCCTTCAGAAATTTAGACAAAGTAACCTTTATCTCCTTGGATTGAATGACCAAATTTGGTTGTTTCTATTTTGATAGTTAATTTGGGATTTGGAGTCAGTACTTAATTTTGCTTCCTGGTTCTGCTACTTTCTATTTATGTTGCCTTGTGTCAGTGGGGAAGTGAAGAGTAAAAGGAGGAACCTTCAGGGGCTAGAGTTATCTGTAATTCTAGGTCTTGTTTAAGAGCTAGAGTGGGTCAAATGAAGGGTTAAAAACTAGTCTTGGAACAGTGATTTTACAGGAGCATGGAAAGAATGAAAGTGTTAACGAGTGAAATAATGAATACCTACATGCAAGAGAGACTGTATGGAAATAAAATAACTTGAGGCCTAATGTCCCATTGACACCCAGAGCTCCCACCCTCCCCACCCCGATTCATCATATTAACAAAGGGAATAAAGATGAAAAGGTATAATGTTGGTGGGAACTCTGACACAAGATGGTTGAATGAGTGGTCCTGACTAAGTGCAGTTCTTCTTCATTCCATTAAAATAGCAATAAATGCACCAAATAAAGTAAACAGAATGAAAAGGAAAAAGGAAAGAAATTGTCAAGGGACTCATTATTTCAGAAAAGTAAAATGAATTGCTGAAATAATGAGTAAATAAAAAAAGGTCCCTGTATAATGAATGAATATGGGAGTAAAAAAAAAATCAGTATCTCCAGAAACAGACAAGAATATCCAGAGGCAAAACTGGATCACCACAAGAACCTTCGGAGTAGTCAATAATAACTGATGTGTGGCATCAAAAGCTTTGCCAAGCACTTTACGTATATTACCGCATTTGAACCTGACAACCATCCTGTGAAATAAGTAGCACAGGTATCATTTCATTTTACTCAGGAAGAAACAGACTTTACTCAAGAAGAAACAGGCTAAGTAGCATGTGTAAGGTCACAACGCAATTATATTTTAGGGGTGGGATTCAAGACCAAGGTAAGTCTGGCATTCTTTCCACTACACTAATCTACCTCTCAATAAGAGAAATGACAAAATCTGGCACCTCTAAAGATGGATTTAAAACCAGTGAAAGACATAATTCTAGAAATATTAGCTAAAGTAATAAGAAAAAACAACTAAAAGTACAAATATAAACATCAAAGGGGAAACAATTTATCTGTATTTGCAGATGATGAAATGATGTACTTAGGAAACTAGGTAACCATGGAAGAAACAGACTTCATAGCTTCATAAAAGTAGCCAAATATATAAAAATTATTTGTAAAGAGTATTAACAAAAACTAGGAAAAAATAAGAATCCATTCAAAGTAATTATAAAATGAATAAACTATGAGTTTATTAGGCCACATGCAAGAGTTATAAAAATATAACTACAAAGCACTTTATAGAAATGAAGAATTAGAGACTGGTTGGACCAATTCCATTTTAACAAAAACGCTATTTAAATAAATACAGATTTGATACTATGCTGATCAGATTATCTAGAAGATCTAGAATTGGGGAAAAAAATTTATCTGGAAGAACAAAAGGTTTAGAATCTCAAGGGACATAGTGAGAAAATGACATGAAATGAAGTACTCCCTTTTTGACAGCTGCTAGGAAAACTGGCAAGTGTTTTGGTAAGAATTAAGTTTGGACCTATACCTTACACCATACAACACAGTAAACTCAAATAATGACCTGAATAGACAATATCACTTTTTTTTTTAAAGAACTACCTTTCAGAAGTATTGCTAGGGGGAAAATTTTTTTTTTATATATTGCCTTTTTAAAAAAATATGACCTTCCCCACATCCCTATCCAGAGAGAGACACCTTATAACAGTATAAAAAGAAGGAAAAAAAAACTTCTCAGCAAAACTAACACATCAAATTGATGGTATATGCTATAGAATTAAGCAGAAAGGGGAGAAGTCATAAAAAACATTTTTGACTATGTTAAAAACCTTTTGCACGAACAAAGTGAATTTGAGCAGAAAGTACAGAGTGGTAAAACATTTGCATCAAATATCAAGAGATATACATTCTACTATGTGCTATGGATAAAAATACAAAGAATGAACCAATCCCTATTCTCAAGTCTAAAAAAGAGAAGTATGTGCTCTGGGCCTAGAGTTCAGATCCTGTCTCAAATACTAGCTGTGTGTGAACCTGGGCGAGTCACTTAACCTTTCTCAGCCTTAGTGTTCTCATCTCTCAAATGGTGAGCACATTTCTCGCAGGGCTGATGTAAAGATGAAATGAGGTAACTAGAATAAAAAGAGTAAATAAATATGAAGTAAGAATTAGGGAAGCTTCATGTAGAAGGCAGCACTTGTGTTGAGGAATAGAGGGAGTCTGAGGCAGAGATGAAGAAGGCCAGTGTACACAGAAATGGTATATGGAGTGTTATGTGTCGGGGCAAAGGTCTACTTGTTAGATCATAGAGCTTTGGAAGGAAAATAATGTGTGATAAGTCTGGCAAAATAGATTGGGGTCAATTTATGAGGATTTTAAGAGTTAAACAGTTTATCCTAGAGTCAATAAGATTGATTGGGTAGGGGAATGTCGTAGTCATCTCAGTTTGACAACTGTGCAAAGGATGGATTGGAGTGGGAGATCCTTGAGGCAAGGAGACCAATTAGGAGGCCATTGCAACAGTCTAGGCAAGAGATGACTAGGACCTGAACAAAGTTGGCCATGTGAATAAGAAGGGTTCACATAGATAATGCTGTGAAGATAGAAACAGCAAGATTTGGCAACTAACCAGGTATGTGGTTACATTCATCAATAATAATGAATGGGGAGTCAAGGATAAGACAGGTTATGAAGCTGGGGCTGGAAGAATGGTATAGGCAGAAATAGGGAAGTTTGGAAGAGGGGTGGATTTAGGGGGAAAGGGAATTGATACAAATATATTCTACCAAGAGCAATTCCCCAATAGATGGCTGGTCACAGGCTATGAATAGTTTGAAAAGAATTGCAAACCTATAAACAACCATCTGAAAACATGTTCTAGTTTACTAATAGTAAGAAATGCAAAACCAGATGATTTCAGTGTTTTACCTCATACTCTGCAAATTGGCGAGGATGACAATATAGAGTTTTAAGTTGGAGGGGCAGTGGGAAGGCAGGCACATGGTTGGTGGGTCTGGAAATTGTTCTTAACCAATTGGTCTATTTTGGACATCAGTTTGGAATTATGCAAGAAAAAAGACCTGTTATATTTTTTATCACTACTATTAAGTATATTTGCCAAGGAAACAATATTTCAATAAATAAATATTCCAATATGGTAGCACCCTGAGGTACAAAGAAATGGAAACAAAGTGAGGGGTGCCCATCATTTGGGCAATGGCTGAAAAGACTGGTATAGGAATGTAATGGAATATTATTTATGATGAAAACGGATTTGAAGAAACATGGGAATTTAAAAAAATGATGCAGAATGAAGTAAGCAGGACTAGAAAACAGCACATGTGATGAATACAACAATGTAAATGGGGGGCAGGTAGGTGGTGCAGTGGATAGAGCAGGGGCCCTGGAGTCAGAAGGACCAGACTTCAAATCTGGCCTCAGACACGTAACACTAGCTACGTGACCCTGGGTAAGTCACTTGACCCCATTGCCTGACCAAAAAAACCCCCAAAACAATGTAAATGAAAAGATGATCCAAAAG